GAAACATCACGTGAGCAAGTAATGACAGGGCATATTGTGTGAACAATATCTAAGGGGTCAAATTGTACGTTTGATATACATTAATGGCAAAGTGACTATAATTTTTTGACCAAACCAGCATATGTTTTGAAAGTGAAAAAGGGCATTAAAGTTATGAAAATTGCATATTTGAGATATTTATTGGCTTACAAATATATCAGTGTACCTATAAAGTAGTTCTATTCAAAACTATTTTCAAAATTAACATTTTAAGATAAGCCTTTATTAAAATATTTAAAATTTTATATTTATATGATATTATATTTATTCATCATGAATAATTATTCCAATACTTACCCAAATATTTGAGTCAGTTTCTTTGTTTTTTAATTGGATACATTTGTGGGATACAAGTATAATTTTGTTATATGGATATATTGGGTAGTGATGAAGTTACAATTCTTAGGGTATTCATTACCCAAATAACAACATTGTACCTTTAAATAATTTCTCCTTATCAATGCCCCTCCCATCTTCCACTCAGAGACTCAACTGTATATCACTCCATGCTCTATGTCCTTGTGTACATGTCTTTAGCTCCCACTTATGAGCACATGAGACATTTGTCTATATCTGGCTTGTTTCACTTAAATAGCCTCTAGTTCCATCCATGTTGCTGCAAAAGACATAATTTCATTCTTTTTTATAGCTGAATAGTCTTCCATTGTGTATTTATACCACATTTTCTTTATCCAGTCATCTGTCATTGAACACTTAGGTTGATTCCATCTTTGCTATTGTGAATAGTGCTGTGATAAGCCACAAAGTGAAAGTCATTTTGATATAATGATCTCTTTTCCTTTGGGTAGATACCCAGTAGAGGAATTGCTGGATCAAATGGTAGATTTATTTTTAGTTCTTTGAGAAATCTCCATACTGTTTTCTATAGAGGTTGTACTAATTTATATTCCCACTAACAGTGTTCAAGAGTTCCTCCTTTACGTTGTTGCCAACAACTGAGTTTTTTTTTTTTTTTTTTTTTTGGTCTTTTAATAATAGCCATTCTGACTGGGATAAGATGAATCTCATTGTAGTTTTAATTGCATTTCTCTGTTGATTAGTGATGTTGAACATTTTTCATATGCCTATTGGCCATTTATGTCTTCTTTGGAAAATGTCTATGCATGTCCTTTGCCCAGTTTTTAATAAAGGTATATATTTTTTGTATGTGTGAATAAATTACTTAGCCATATCTGCCTTTAAAACTTGATACTGTACCATGTTTCCCGAAAATAAGACAGGGTCTTATACTTATTTTTCTTCAAGAAGACACCCTAGGGTTTATTTTCAGGGGATGCGTTATATTTTTTAAGTATGGTACAACAATCTACATTTATTCAAATATCGTTAAGTCATCTTCTCCTGGAACATCATCATAACTCTCCAAACCCCGAATTCCATCCTGAATTTCTTGCAACTCTATTTCCTTTAGAACCATTGACCCAGTCTCTCATGTTGAGCAATAGAGCTGTAACGGGGCAGATGAGAAGGGCTGCTCATCTTCTTTCCTGCTCCGCGACAACATGCCTGGGTTGTGCAGATGCGCTGCGTAGCCACGCCCAGCACTAGGTCTTATTTTCGGGGTAGGGCTTATATTGTGCAAATGCTTAGAAATCCTGCTAGGGCTTATTTTATGGGTAGGTCTTATTTTCAGGGTAACACAGTAATTTTCTGAAAAAAAGTTAATAAGATCTTATGCTTAATTTTAAAATTAAATTCCCTGTAGTTTTCTTAAAAGTTGCAGATTGACTCTTTAATAATAATTTTAGTTTTAAAAGTACTTTGTCTACAGATGTGAAAGCACATGATAAACTTTGTTAAATGGAAGAGTCTCTATTTTAGTGTTTTTTGTATGTTTATCTTCCTTCTCCCTCCCTGATATTTTAGTTTTTTCATATTGAAATATGAAGATTTTTTTAAATACTTTCACAGGTGTTATCTTTGTATCCTTTCAGAGTACCTTTCTTTGACAAATGCTTGGATAAAAGCCATCAGATAAATTGTTACTGTTTATGATTTTAATATTTTGTCATATTTAGATATGGAAAAATTACAGGTTTTCTCAATTATATTCCATTACATTATAAAATATAAATTTATTCAGTGAAAAATATGAGCTCCACAAAAGATTCTTCCCAGGATTGGAATATTTGAAATTGAGATTGTAGATGTATCCATTTACTAAGGCTTCTGTGAATGAGGCACCACCAAGTGGGTGGTTCTGGAATCTCAAAGTCTGAAATCAAAGTATCACAGGGTCATGCTATTCTCCCAAATTCTGGTTGTTACCAGCAATCTTTGATGTTCCTTGGTTTGCAGCTTCATAACTCTAATCTTTGCCTTTGTGGTCACATGGACATCTTCCCTCTGTGACTTCATTTCTTTTCTATCTCTGTCTTTGTGTCTCTTCCCTTGTAAGGACAGCAGTCATATTGAAGTAATTCCGACCTTATGGCACATCTAGTTACATTGGCAAAACCGTATTTCCAAATAGGATCATATTCACAGGTATCAAAGATTAGAACTTGAACACATTTTTTTTGGAGGGGCACAATTCATCCCACAACAAGAGAATTTCAAAACTGCATGGTTTGAGCTATCACTGTTTAATTAGTTCAGTTCTTCCCTTGCTTTTGAAGGGATAGGTTTCTGTGTGTAAGTTCTGGTTTCACTGATTACAATTCACTAAAAGCTTTAAAACTGAAGGTGCCCCCCCACCCATTTGTCTATTTGTTGATTAACAATTTCCAATAACTTTTGAACAAACTGCAATAATTATAGCCCTTTAGGGCTGATTTACAAAATAATTTTTCAAATTCTTGTTATCTCTAAATGTGACATTGGCAGCAAAGAGAAGAGAGTATATGTTGCTATAATAAATTTTTTGTATTAAACATAAATTTCATCACAGTAGTTTTATAATATAGATACAATAATTATGTGCTTATGTGTCCAATATTTTACAATTTTGTTACCAATTTATACTTTAGTTGGTAGAAGATTATAGCTTGTTTGTGCACAATTGTGGATAGCATTTCCTGTGACCAATTTGGAGTACATTTGTGTTTCTGTAGGCTTCTATAATACATACGAAAGTAGATAATCTCCTATCAGGAATAGTAGAGTAAGATAGATCCCTGGTTTTAGAGCAATGGGGCTCAAATCAGTGGTTCTTAACTAGGGCTTTGTAGAGCCACATTATTAGATGTTTTACTAAAACTATGAGATTTTCAGATCTAGCCGATGGAGTGTCTCAAAATGTTCCTGACAATTCTTTAACCAGTCTGTCTCATGGATTGTGAGTCTTGTGTTCTGTGACAGAAATTTTGTTAGGGATAATAGAGGATTTTTAAGACATAAAATGCATATACTCCAGAGGCAAAGATAGTTTAGTTTTGCATTAAAATTAAGAACTTTTCATCAAAAGTAACCATTAAATAAGTGAAAAGACAAATCACATGCTGGTGATATTTGCTCCTCAGATAAAATTGACATAAAATTAGTGTTTAGAATGCATATAGAGGAGTAATGTCAACAAGATGTGAATAGGACTTTCTAGCACAATATTTATTGACCTACATTTGGATTTTTGTGTAGCAATCATGTTTTCACTAGACCTTTCAGTAGTGAAAAGACAGGAGCAACAGGAAGAAAGAACCATCTTCTACTTTATCGAGTACCTTTAAATACCAAACATATTAAGAGCAGCATAATTCACCACTTTTAAGTTGAGATTCTAGAGAGCAGGAAAGCCTTCCTGTAATGCATTTCTTTGTGCTTTTCCAGAGATAGTTTATGTCATCTGTCAAAATATAGCATTTCTTACCCTGTTAAATACTTATAAACTTCTAGGAAGTAATGTTCTGCATAAAGTTTTTTCATTAGAAATGACATTATGGTGAGGGTGAGCAGCTGAGCCATCTGTTTACTGGCCTGATCCCCACCATAATGAATGACAAGCATGGCTAGACTGACAGCTATTGTCAGGGAGCTAGCCTGGGGCTGTGGAATAAAATTATTCTTTGAGTAAGTTAAAAGAGCTGTACAGGATGGAGCTCATGACTTCAGGATCTTATACAGGATACACTAACCAAGAGCAAACAGATTTAGCAATTAGGGTCACAAGACTATGGGGCCACATATATGTGAAGCCCAGCTTTGAAGATAGCTGCCAGTTTTAACTGGGCTATGTTCATCTGTCTCTTTAGAAAAAAATTAGCAGGACTTTTAATGTGGCCAATATAATAGTCTAGATCTTTAGTATGTGGTTTGATAACTTGTATGTGTGTGTGTGTGTGTATATATATATTAATATAAATGAAAGTTACAAAGGAATGGAAATGTATGCTGTAGATAGTATTGTAGTATTCGGGCAGTTAGAATAGAATAGCAGAATATCATAGACTGGTTGGCTTATAAACCATAGACTGTGGAAATTTTTTACCACAGTTCTGGAGGCTGGGAAGTTCAAGATCAATTCAGCAACAGATTCAGTGTCTGGTGATGGCCTGCATTTTGGTTTGTAGTTGTCAGTCTTCATGCTGTGTCCTCACATGGTTGAAGGTACAATGGAGAGCTCTGGAGTCTTTTAAAAGGACACTAACCTCAGGCATGAGGGCTCCACCCCGATGATCTAATCACCTTCCAATGTCCCACCTCTTGATATATGATAACATTGGAGTTAGGATTCCGACATATGAATTTTGGGGGGACATAAACATTCAGTCTATAGCAGATAGATTACAGTGGAGAACTAAAAAAACAGAGTTGGCACCCTTCACAAAATTATGAATATTTTTATGAACCCAAGGAATGACTATCAATGTAATTAGAAAAAAATCAAATTTGGTGTCTTTTTGGAGAATCATAGATATTTTTATTCATTCTTGTGCCTTAAATTTATGCAGTTGAAGTTCCTTACTGTCTTTTTAGTATTACATTTGTTGCTTTGCTTTCCATAGACATGAAGCCATTATCATCTCAGGAACTGAAATGGCCAAACATATCCAGAAAGAAATACAGCGAGGAGTGGAGTCCTGGGTTTCCCTGGGGAACAGAAGACCTCACCTTAGCATCATTTTAGTAGGAGACAACCCAGCAAGCCACACATATGTGAGGAATAAGATAAGAGCTGCCTCTGCTGTAGGTGGGTTGTGTTTTGCTTGTAATTGTTACTAAATATGTTTTCTCTTTTTACTTTAAAATGTGATAATTATGACTGATAATTATCAAATAAATGCCATTTAAATAACATGTATTACTGTTATTAGAGATTATTCAGTTATTAAATTTTATATTAATTTCTTATTATTTTTCTTCAGATTCCTTACACAATCAATTCAGTGTGATTTCATATCCTGTGGCAAGATGTGAGAGGAATACTTTACATTTAAAAGGCCCATTTTTATTACATTGGTTTTAATCAAATGATAAACCTGGCAAACTTGGCTGAATGATGGTCATTGTAGTATTTTTATTCTCTTCAAATCTAATAATAGCTTATTACAAATAAATGCAAGTTGTCACAAGGGATACTGGGACAAAGAGTACGTGTTAACCAAGAGAAAACACCAGTACTGTGGGAGAAATCCCTCCCGATGATGCATTGACCATCGTCTTTGTAGCAGGGCCTCTCCTTCCAGTAGGACCAATCCTACACGGTGTAAGACACTATTAATTAAAAAACACATCTTCTTTAGTCAAGAGACTTTCTCTGCTTGTTTTTCTTCCAGGTATCTGTAGTGAGCTTATTCTAAAACCCAAGGATGTTTCTCAGGAAGAACTTCTGGATATAACTGATCAATTGAACATGGACCCAAGAGTCAGTGGTATATTAGTTCAGTTACCACTGCCAGGTACATAATGCTCTTCTATATATCTGGTCTGGTTAGGAGAAAGGGCATCTTTCAACATTGTATCATGACACTGAAAGTAATTCATAAAATATGTTCAGAAGGACACTAGTTATTATACTAGTAATAGGTATAACAGGTGTTGATTTCTGAATGATTTATGCTTATAGTAATAAAAAACTGAACAATTTAGGCATTGGCAATACATGCACTTCTTGCTTTGCACAGTAGTACAGGATCATAAAAATGACTGTATGAGCTGAAACTAGGCAAAGTAATCTTAATAATCATTGGGAAAGATGACAATTTTTCTATGACCTTTAAAATTTTCTGCCAAAGCATTAAGAACTTTCTTATTGTGGTTTATAAATGTATAGGGAAATGAAAAATTAGTAAAACAAATATTTATTCAGTACACTATAATTTAAGACATTAGAAATATTAAGAATTAAGGTGTTTGATTTCTTTGCAAAAAATTTATCAAGAATAGTTTGAACAGTGCTTGCCTTCTTCTCATTCTATGATTTAGAAATTATAGAATGGAGCAAGCATCTTTTTCTATGCCTTGGTGAATTGAATTATCATATCCCTTTCTAAGTATGATTAGCTTCCAAAATTTTGTCCTCTGTACTTTTAGTCCCTTGAAATGTCTCTGAGAATTCCTTTAATGTGAAGTTTTATGCTAGTGTCACTTCTTCTGGGACATTGTCGTCCTTTTATCAGGATCATTTTACTCGTTTGTGTGAATCAGTTCACCTTCATTAAGTTCCACTGACTACAGTGTCAGCATTCCATGGTCAGCTATTTTTTGTATAATTCCATTTACATTGACTTAGAAACTACTAACGTGACTTTATCTTGTTGTTTATGTTTATCAGGCTTTTCCAACATAGTTCTTACCTTTATTTCATGCAAGCGTCTTGTCTTTGTTTTGCTGGCACCATTTGCAGAGCTTCTGCTCACATCCACTTTCCATTCCAGCGTTATTATATTTTGTTCTTTGCTGTACTTGAATTTTTATAGGCTCATCTCCTTTGTCAGTTGTCCACTTTTATAACCCATGTTATGTGGGTTTATCTCTGGGAGACATGAAGAGAACACCCTTTGTTCAGATTATACAAAATTTTAGTTATGATGAATAAATTCTGGAGCTCTATTGTACAACATGGTGACTATAGTAAATAACATGTTGTATACTTGCAAATTGCTAAGAAAGTAGATGTTAAATGTTCTCACCACAAAAATATATGTGGAAATTACATGTGGGCAAGATGGCTGCCTACAGACATTGGTTGCCAGATCGACTTTGAAAGAAGGAAAAGTTTTAGAGAGAAAAAAATAGTTTAGGTGTAATTCTGAGGGAAAAGTACTAGAACCTAATGAAAATTCCACAGGAAGAAGTTACAGAGCAGAACAAGAAGGAATACGATATTGACAGAGAGCAACCACCAAGAAACTTAGAGCCCCGTGGAAAGGGTAGGTGGGGGTTTTCTTTCTCTTTCCCTCACACCTCTGGTAGTCAGCAGGCTGCCAAGCTGCTGGAGAGCTTTTCTACCCTCACGAACCCAGAAGCTGCTGGGGAGTGAATAGGGAGCTTCTTAAAAACAAAGAATTGGGCTGCCAGTCCCCTTGGGGTTGCTTCCCCTCACCACAGGCCCAATCTGAGATGATGGGTGTCATAGTGTTTCTCCAACCACTGTGGGTCTTTATCCTCCCCAGAGAGAACCAGACCCTCGGTCTTTTGTGTCACCGGTCCCCACACAGACATTTTCTGACTGCTGCCCAGACTGCCATGGCCACAGGTGGGTCCCAGGGGCACTCTGTGATCCCAGAGCTTGGACATTCTAGGTGGGCTGCATTCAAGACAACCAGAGTGCCATCTCTCCTCCATTTAGACTCTTTTCTTCCCTGTCCCCCGATCCCCTACCCACTGCTGCTGAGTGGCACAGGTGCTCCAAGAAGCAATCGAGCTGCAGCTTGCAGGAGCGGCTGCTTCCCCTCTTTTGGTGCATCCATCACATTGAGGTTCCCACAGAGAGTGGGGATCACACCTTTCCACTTAAAGACCTGCAGTGGACCAAGGGGTGCTCAGACTGTGAGCTCCCTGTCTGCCCGTCTTCCCCAGTGCTGCTCTCCTGGCTGCTAAAGAAGAGCAGGACATGCCTCGAAGTGGAGGGACATTAAGTCTACTTGAGCACTCCATGAGAAACTTGAGACCAGCACACTTCTCCCTGGTACAGTCAGGGATTGAACTTGGGGGACCAGAGTACAGGTCCACAGGCCAGATCTCATACCTCCAGGACTCAATCGTGTTGCTCAGAGGCACAGAGAGATTTATTAATGAATCTTGGCTGACAGGGGAGACTGTGTGGACAGAACTGAAAGGAGAGTGCAGTGTGGGTCTGAGCTGCAACACCACTGGTGGAGCATCCCTCCCCCTACATGCAAGGCATGCTGTCAGTATGGTGGGGGGGGGGGTCTCAGGCAGGGAAGCTCCCAGCCCATGGCACCATAACTGATGAGCTGAGCTAGTTTGAGCATCTGCTTGCAGCCAGACACCAGAAGGAGATCTTAGGACAGGGAGGAGGGAGAAGAGTGAAACCCACTCCTGATAGCCAGTCTGTCAATGGAGACCTCTGGCTTGGTGGGGCCATGTCAGCCCTTCCCTGGTGTTTTTTCCTAGTGGCCTGGGAGCTGACCCTTGACTCCCACCCAGACAGCTCTTATGCCTGCCTTTGTGGAGCCTGAAGGTGAGCTCACCTAACCCAGTCCTGCCCAGCTCTTCTCCTCCACTCACCTCTGCTGTGGTAGAGATTAGGAGTCCCCTGGGAGCTCTAGGACCCTGCCTACCACCTGGGGCATTCAAGTGCTTCTCCTAATGGACTAGAGCTTGTCATGGGTCCCAAAACACAGCACTGTATCTGGCTCTTTTCTGCAAGTGCCAACTACTGGCAAAGAGAACAGCTTGAGGAGCCTTTTACAGCATTTACTGACTCAGTCATATAGGGTGTGGCTGTTTCTTACAAACACCACCTACTGTCTTGGAGATTAAACTGGGTGTTCCAGTGTAATTCACACTGTTAAGACCACAGGACTGGGGAAAGAAAGGATTTCAAAGACCTCCATCTTCCCTTGTCAACAATAAACAGGAAATTTGCCCATGCACATAGTATACCATTGCTATAGCCTACAAATAACTACCAACTGAGAAAAACACCACTATAAGAATATCTATAACCTATCATTCCAGAACCTAAACCCCATCAAAGGACCCACAAGCAAAGCCTAAGGTTCTTATCCAAAATATGCTACAGACACACCCTTAAGAATGAGGGGCTTAAAAAAAAGGCCCCATCTAAACAATAAAATCCAAATAAATAAATAAATAAATAGCAGCTACTTCAGATGAAAAGAAATCACTGCAAGATCTCCAGAAGCATGAAAAATCAAAGTAAAAGGACACCCCTAAAGGAGCACAACAGTTTTCTAGCAGTGGATCCCAACCAAAATGAGATCTGAAATGACAATTCTAAATATAGATTGTAAGGAAGCTATGGAATCCAAGAGAAAATGGAAAACCAACTCAAACCAGAAAAACAATTCAGGAAACAAATGAAAAATTTACTAAGGAGATAGATATGTTAAAGAAAAAAAAACTTTTGGAAATGAAAAATTCATTTAGGGAAATGTAAAACACGGTAGAAAGTTTTATTAATAGACTAAGCCATGCAGAAGAAAGAATTTCAGAGCTTGAAGACAACTCTCTTGAATTAACCCAGTGAGTCAAAAATACAGTACAAAGAATCAGGAGAAACAAACAAAGTCTGTGAAAAATATGGGATTCTGTAAAATGACCAAATATAAGAATCATAGGCAACTATGAGGGTGAAGAGGAAAAAGCAGAAGGCCTGGAAAATTTATTTGAGGGAATAATTGAGGGAAACTTCCCTGGTCTTGCAGAAGATTTAGACATGCAGATACAAGAAGCTCAATAAACACCTGGGAGATGCATTGCAAAAACAGTTTCACCAAGACATAGTCATCAGACTGACTAAAATAAACACAAACAATCTGTGAGGTGAAAACATCAAGTAACTTAACAATGGAAAACCAGCAGACTTCTCAAGGGAAAGCTTACAAGCCAGATAGGAATAGGGGTCCTATCTTTATTCTCCTTAAACAGAAAAAACTGCCTGCCAATACTTTTGTATCCTGATAAACTAAATATCACAAATGAAGGAGAAATAAAGTCTTTCCCAGACAAGCAAACACTAAGGGAATTTGTCACTGCTAGACCCGCCCTATAGGTAATGCTTAAAAGTGCATTATACATGGAACAGCACAATTTATAACTCACAGCTCTTATAAAACAATGGCAGAAGAGGGAACACAAAACAATAAGCTATTATCCAACATCCAGAACAGAACATAATCCCACATATCAATATGAACTCTCAATGTTAACAGTCTGAATGCCTCACTTAAAAGACATAGATTGGCTGAATGAATGAAAAAACACACCCAAGTCTTATCTGTCTCTAAGAAACACATCTAAAGCACAAGGATTCACACACACTCAAGGAATTGGGATAGCAAATAATATTCCATGCAAATGAAAACCAAAAGCAAGCAGGTGTAGCCATTCTCATATCAGATGAAATAGACTTTAAATTAACAATGGTAAAAAAATACAAAGATGGTCATGATATAATGATAAAGGGAGCAATTCAACGAGAAGACATAACAATCATAAATATATATGCACCTAATACAGGCGTTCTCAGTTTCATAAAGCAAATTATTCTAGATCTAATCAAAGAAATAAACAATAGTATCTTAATAGTTGTGGACTTCAGCATACCACTGACAGAACTGGATAGTTCATCGAAGAAGAAATGAATAAAGAAACACTGGTCTTAAATAGGATCCTAGAACAAATGGATCTAACAGATATTTACAGAACTTTGTATGCCAAAACTACTGAATATACATTTTTCTCATCA